GAAAACGTTCTCCATGCTCTTCACTCACATCACCCAAATTTGGTCTGAAAAGTTCTAGGTATGAATCCAGGTAATGCAGCTTTATTGACATTCTGCATTTCATATCTGCGTGTCGTACAATTAAGCTTAACACTTAGTCTTTGTAGTTATCACTCTTATTGTTGCCTAAAAATCCATGAACAACATGTCTAAACGCAATCCATGCTTCTTTTTCCACAGCAGACATTTTGTCCTCCAGCTCCTTACAAGCCAACATAACTTTCATCTGCGGACCAACGAATACACCTGCTAAATTTTTTGCATGTGACTCCTTTGGAAACATCTGCCGAATATGCTGGCACACTGCACTAGCTTGGTTTAATGCTTTGACAAATTGTTTGACAAGACTTAGTTTAATGGGAAGGAGTGGTAGTAAGATCTTCTTGACAGGTATCAAGGATTGATTAATTACATTATACGAACCAGGCTGTAAATGTTCTCTCACAAGCCACTCACGTCTCGTGAAGTGCTGGTTTGCAGCCCTGCTATCCCATAAACAAAAAAAACATGAGTACTTTTTTGTATCCTCCTTGTAGACCGAGAAGGAATGCTAGCATCTTAAAGTCCCAACATACATCAAATTTTTAAATGTCGAAGTTAATTTTCTCAAGTAGCAACTTCATTTTCTTGTAGTCTTCCTTTAGATGAACGGAATGGGCTTCTGGAATCGAAGGAAAGTGGTTTTCGATATGGAGCAAAACTGCCTTTAGACTTCTTGTTAAACTGTCAATGAATAACCTCTACTCTTCAGGATTGTGAATAACGCCAATGTGATCGAAAAGACGACGACAGTAGCACAGTAATTCTAATACTGCATAAAAGTATGCAAATATTTCATGTCTTTTTCGGTATTTTAAGCTTCTGCAGCTTGAATCTAATAAATTCCATTGTTTGGATTTTATTAGATTCAGGTGATGTCAGAAGTTCTGCAATTGATTTAGTGAGACCTAAATCTCGTACTAAGTCACCAAGTTCTTTTTGGTTTGAGAAATGAAGTGAATCATTTGGTTCGCTGAAATCACAGTCATCACGAAGTTCATCTACATCAGAATGGTATGTAGTTGTTTTTTCTAATTGAGGTGGGTTAGGAACAGGCAATTCATCACTGTGTGGAACTGGTCCAATAGAAGAGGGAATACTTGGATAAAATAGAGTCAGTCTATCCTTTGGATCTTTATACTTTGAAATGTTAACCATGCAGAAATAACAGTCATCATGATGGTTCGTCGGTTCTCTCCATATTCTCGGAATCGCAAAGGGCATTGACTGTTGGATTCCAGGCAGCCATCCTTCCAGAGTTGATCTGCAGCTGACACAACTGTAGTGTGGTGCCCATAATTTGTCCTGATCTCCCATAGCCATGCCAAAATAGGCATGATATGCAGTAAACAATTTTGTACTACTGACAATCTTATGTTTAGTTTGTGTTGGACTAATATAGTAACAACAAACATAACAGAATGAGTCAGCGCAAAGCTTGCAGCATCTACTAGACATATTCATCACTTCATATAACAGTTGTAATAAGTTAAACTAAAAAAAAAATAATAATATAGTTAACTCATTCTCTCAGTAGCATTTGTTAAAAAAATGGTACCCAAAATGTGCTAATATTTATTAAAAAATGCTTTAAATCAACATTAATAAATATAAACAATAACAAAGGAAGTGACAATTAAATAGCTAAAGAACTATAATCAGAAAACATAATATTAAAAAAAAATCCACGAGCCACTGTCAGTGGCTGAGCGGAGAGAATGAGTTAAAATCAGCATATATAAGTATATAATGTTATAAATGCATTACACATTTACAAAAACTCGGAAATATACTGTATGCTTTTTCTCAGGAAATCTTAATGATAGAGCAAACCAATGGTACCACTGAAATCAGTATACCAAAATTATGTAAGAAACATTAAAAAACAAAAAATTAAAAATTTAACATAAAAATCTTCTTACATTGTGTAATAGTTTGATTAAGTTTATTGTTTAAGTTATACCTACGTGCGTTAGAATAATCAATACCAATATTATAATAAAATTTGTTGTGTTTACATTTTATTATGGCTACTATCGTTGTAAAGAGAAAAATGAATACGAAATCAATTAAAGAAAAGTACGCTGCTTTAAGGGAAATTGGAGAACCCGAGTCTAAGTCTCAGGTTGCTATAAAATATGGCATTCCAAAAAATACGCTGTCAACATGGATCAAAAATAAAGAAAATTTTTTTGAATGTTTGAAGACGCAAGGGAACAAGTCTGAACGTATGAAAATTAAAAAAGGAAAATTTTAAAAATTAGATAATCTTGTTTTTAAATGGCTTTTAAATGTAAGGAGCAGAAACGTGTCAGTATCAGCAACAATTCTTGAAACAAAAACCAGAGAACTTCCTGAAAAAATTAATATAAATGGATTTCAAGCGTCTGATGGTTGGCTTAATTGTTGGAAAAATAGGTATAATGTTTCTTTCAAGACGGTATGTGGAGAGGGTAACTCTTGTACAGCTGAAATGACCACGTTGTGGAAGGAAACAAGTCTCCCCAGAATTTTATCTAGCTATAAACTTGATGAAATTTATAATGCAGATGAATTTGGATTATTTTTTCGTATGTAACCTAATAAGTCACTTAATCATTTCTCGTATCCACTTAAGAGTGGATACGAGAAATGGATACAAAGTTTACAAAAGAAAAGAAAAAAGTAGCGTTTATAAAAGATAACTGCCCAGCACACCCGACTATCAATAATCTAAAATCTATTGAGCTCATTTTTTTACCAACGAATACCATATCTAAACTTCAACCAATGGATCAGGGAGTTATACGCTCTTTGAAAGTTTATTACAGATCTTTGGCATTACCCTTGCCCTTCAGTCTTATGGGTGAAGATTTGCAACAAAATCTCAATGCTGTCTTGATAATATTCGATAGAGACGTTCATCTCTAAGTAAAGGTTCTGTGTTAATTAAGCTTTCATCTGCAAAAACAACATCTTCAGCTGTTGTACCTGGAGGATAAAAATTATAAAGTTTTTCTATCTGATTATATTAAAATTACTATTAACTAATAGTTATAGTAACTATAACTATTACTGATAGTTATAGTATAAAAATTGTAATCATAATGATATATCATATGATTAAAAAATTATACTATATCTATTAGTTCTACTATACTATATCTAAATTATACTATATCTATTAGCTCTACAATCTTCATATTTTCTACAGTAACTTCCAGTAACTTCCAACACTAATTAGTGGTTGCTTGCAGCCTTTTTTGGAAGCGAAGATGTTAAAAATAAAAAAAATAAAAACAAAAACAAAGTTATAGTTACAGTAATGGTATTATTATTATTAATTATACATAATTACTAATTATGCATAATTACTAATTAAATTAATAGTAATAATATTGCTACTACGTTTTCAAAATTATTGGTTTGCGATCATATCTTCTATATAATAATGCCGAACTTAATAGTTTTAATAGTAGTAGTGTCCCTTGGAGCGTATTTGACACGAAACCCTTCGCAGCCATTGCAACCGAGGTAGTGGCGAGTGAGAGTTGCAGCACTTTGTTTTTTAAGAAAACGTGAACGAACGTGTATGCAAATTTCCAACGCATGTAAAATTAAGTAATGTTAAAACATACTGAAACATTTATCAAGTTTTACAGTTTGATTTTCACTTAAAAATTGGATTGCGTCAAGTTCTCCTTAACTTTGATGTACAGCATATCTTTCCGTGAAAAATGTCTTTAGATTGTTTTAGAAGTTATCGTATAACATCGTGCCAGCGTGGCCGAGTGGATAGCGCGCTTTACTTCTGAACAAGTAAGCCCTGGTTTGAGTCCTACCATTGAAAACTTTTTTTTTTTTTAATTTTTTCGACTATTTTAAAATACAAAATACTTTTGAAGTTTTACATAGTGTTTATAAAGACATGTGTAACGATATTATACACTTAAACGAATGAAAAGATTTTAAAAAAAGATAATATTTTTAAAAACATCAAAACACCGGGACAAAAAAATGTTTGCGTAATTATTTTTTTACAATAAATATGTTTTTCAAAACGCCTTAATATGCTTATTACGTATTTCGGGAAAAACGCAATTTAAGTAATTAATATGCTTATTACGTATTTCGAGAAAAACGCAAAAAAAAAAGAAAATTATTAAATAGAGATGGTTAAGCGCAAACAATGTATAAATAAACTCTTTGTAAAACGCTTTTTTTTTAAAAAATAATTTTAATGAATTTTTTCAGAACTTTTTGAAAATATATAGGGTCGTTTCCACACCTAGCGTGAGTCGACACTTATCGTAGGTTTTAAATACTAACATAAATGTTGCAATAAGTACCGTAAAACGGGGTGAATAGAAACAATTTTCAACTTTGGTATGAAAATGTGCATACTTGTAGTTGTTCTAGATAAACAATTTTTTGCCCAAACACAGGTCTCTGTTCGGCCTATTTGTTTATAGTATTTAAATTTTTTAATTTCATTTGATTTTAAAGAAAAATATATAAAGCATGGTGTTTTTATTCACCCCGCAGATGGGGGTGAATAGAAACAGTACTTCAATTTCATGTGTTTTTCTATTAAAAAAAAAAATTAGGGTGAATTGAAACAGACAAATATGGATTTTTGGTCAATAAATGAATACAAATAAATTTATTTCTCAACATAATGATTTATTTGAGTACATAAACAAAAGAAGTTACATATAATGTGCCCTACGGTAAGAAAACAAATTGGAATAGTCCTCTTCATCTTCTGATTATATCTCCACACGCTTTCGGCTTTTCTTTGGCTGAACCTGTTTAGTACCTGAGGTACCTGGGTTTTGGCCAGTAGAACGTGAAGTTTGGGGAATCTCATCGTCCACGACGAAGTCCTCAACACCAATACTTTTGCCAGGTTTCACATTTACTTTGGTTCTTTTTTGCCTTATCTAAGGAGTCTGATCATGACGCAGACTCTGAAGGAGCTCTTGAAAACTCCTGTCAACAGCTTCAGTGTTCTTTTGAATGTTTTCTGGATTCTGATTTTCCTCATCATCAATGATTTTTGGAAGCATAGACAGCACTTTGTTCCTGTTTAGAGGCCCTATACCGCACTTCTTAAAACCGCTGATCACATTTTCTTCCTTCAATGAAGCACACAACTTTTTCAATAACGCGGGAAATTTGTCCTTAGGAACAGTTGCTTCTGCTCTTCCTGGGCCTTTTTTCCACTCTTCGAGAATCTGCCGCCATGTTGATTTCAATGGGCGAAAAAAGGCTTCGTCTAGAGGTTGTGTGAGATGGGTGGAGTTAGCTGAGAGTAAAATAAAACTGATATCATTGTCTTTACACAACTTCACAGATTCCATTGATAAGTGGGAAGACAAATTGTCCCCAATCAGAATTTTTTGACCCGTTTTGTTTTTCAGGTACGGAAGAGCAACTGTCAGTACCCAATCTTCAAAGCAAAAGGAATCGAACCAGCCAGACTTTGTTCGATTGTACCTGGCGTTTTTTGGTCCACCTTCTGCCCAGCTCTGGTACAAGTGCATAGCCTTATACACAACGTAAGGTGGTAAAATAGTGCCGTCAGCAGCGGCTGCAAACATCACAGACGTAGATGACTTTGATGAGTTTATGACTCTTTCTGGATATTTTGTCCCTCTACGTATAATGACCTTTCGCTTACCAGGGTCATCACTTAGATTTGTCTCATCGTAGTTAACGATATTAGATAAAGGCACATCCTTTAATTCATTTGTCAGTTCATCAAAATAGTGGTTAATTGTTTCTGGTGTTACACCAGCCCTCGAGCGTTTAATATTCTGACACATTCTCACGGCCAGTTGTTCCTTATGACGTTTTATAAATGATTCCACAAAGTCACGGCCGGGGAGGTTATCTTTAAACCTCTTAACTTCTTTCCCCTCTCTGGTCTAAAAAGTATTTTACAAGGAGTCGTAGAGTTGTAGTGTCAATGGGATTACCCCATTTGCCACATATCTTAAGCCTATCAACAAACAGCTGTTCTTCTTCAAGAGATAATGCTGTCTGACCACCATGTTTCTTCAAATTTGGACCTCTTTTCAAGTGTCGATAAAGAACACTATAATGCAAACCATGTTTTTCAGCAGACTTGCGAAGGCTTAATCCATTCTGTATGTCAGAAATTGCTCTTTCAATTGTTTTTGGATCGTGCTTTTTGTAGCCACCTCCAACCACGTGTTTGTACTTCCTTGGCATTTTACAGGGTTCTGAAATAAAACAGCTGTGTCAGTTAAGTGTCTAACATAAATATATAGCATACAGTATGTATTTTATACAGTATAAACGTGATTTAGAATTACTTTTTTATTGCGGGGTGTAAAGAAACACTAGAAATTATATGTTTCTATTCACCCCGTCAATTCTGAAAACCTAACCTAAAAAATTCAAATAATTATTAAAATAATATTGTTACAGTTAAAGCTTAAAGTTAGCCTAACTCTTTTATATGAATAATTAAACTATGTTTTGTACAGCTATTTACTTTTAAGAACACTGAGTATTTCGACTTACCTGGAAAGTTCAAAGTGAATAAAAAAAAACAAGAATTGCGCGGTAAAATTCAACATGAAAAACAAACAAGAACCAATGCTGCTAAATAAGCAAACCATTATTTCACTTTCAGGCTAAAGTGTAGCAACCTAAAAAAAATTATTAGTTGCCATTATTTACTCATAGTTATGTAGTAAATAGATTATATATACAAAAATGAAATTTTGTTTCTATTCACCCCACTGTTTCTATTCACCCCGTTTTACGGTAATTGCAGTTCAGTGCTTAAAAACTTTAAGAATTGTTGTTTGCAAAGAAACATATAAACAAAGAAACGTTATATAAATTATTTTTTAATAAAACTAACTTATTTTAAACTTTGTTGAATAGACAGGTTTGGCGCCTAACCATTCCAATATAATCAATTTTTATAAAAAAATGTGTTATTTGTTTATATATATTGTTTATAAAATGTAAAAAATCCACTTATAAAACGTTTTATTCAGGATCGTTTTACGTTCGTATGGAACATAAATAAAATTTTCTAATAATTACAAGTCTTTTTGCTCAAGTAGCTTTGTTTTGATGTTTAAGTAGATTAAGTGATTAGTAGGTATGTTATATTTAAAATATATTATATTTTAAAAAATTGACTAAATTGAAAAAACAAAAAACATATTGACATCCAAGTGAAAAACTTGAAACTCCAATTTTAGATTTGTTAAAATTATGTCATCTTCTTATATCCGCCAAATCCGGTAATAAAAACAGCTAAACGTAATCAAAATAGAGAAGGTTTGAATATTCTTTTTATCTATTTAATAATACTAAAGTTAATAGTAGTAGTGCTCTTTCGAGCCTGTTTGATACAGACCTCTTGGCAGCCATTGGAATCGAGGTAATGGGGAGAGAGAGTTGCAACAGCTTTGTTTTATAAGAAAACGTGAACGAAAATGTATCTTTAAACGAAGGTGTATCTTTGAACGAAACTGTATGTTTAGTGTATTTTTATTATGTATGTAATATCAAGATTTGTAATAATAAATACGTAACATTATGTTTTACAGTTTTACTTGCATTGCGACAACATCTTTTTAATTTTGATTTGTAGCATTTATTTTTGTTTTATACAGTCTTTTGCTTTTTAAAAATTTAAAACTTAAGTTAAGTACCAATAAGTTGCAATATGGTCGAGCGTTTAGCGTGCCGACATACGGAGGTGAATATCGGAGTTAGAGTCCTATCATTGGAATTCTTTTTTATATATTTTTTAATTTTTCATTGATTTTATTTAAAACATAGAATAAAAAACTTTTAAAAGAGAACTATGAAATTGTTTTGTTTTGCGTTTTAAAAAATTAAAAAAAAAAGCAAGCTTGCCACGCAAGCTTGCTTCTAAACTTTTTTTGAACAAAGTAAGGAGGTTTAAATAAAATGTTTTCATTAAGAACATGACTTAAAATTTTGTTTTTATATAAAAAAAATCATTTTTATCAACTTAATTATTTTAAAAAATAATAAAAGTTAAAATTACTTATTTTAAGATAACAAAGTAATTTAAAGTTTCATAGCTATTTTACAACGTCTCCGCTAAACATTTAAAACTATGTGCTAAATGACGGGACTTAGATAACTATGAAAATAACCCGTGTTTTACGGGTCATGACACCTAATATATATATAAAATGAGAAAACTTTATAATTTTATTTTAAATTTTAGAAATCCTTTTTGCTAAACTATTATTTTTTTGTTAAGTATAAGTATATAAGCATTATTAAAAAAATGTCACAGTTTATTACGTTAAAGAAAAGTCTTAAACCCCTTAAAACAAAACTGATGACAGCGCACTTAACTAGTGAGCTATCAAATGAAATGGACTTAGTAGAAAAATAAATCTAATTATAAGCCTTTTATAAGCTCTATATATGCGGAAAAGGTGCACATGTTAAGTTTTTTACTCTTGAATGTTTTTTAAAAACTAAAAAATATTGAATTAAATAAGAAATAGGTATATAAATAATCAGTGCAGAATAGATATGTATAGAAATGTTAGGCTTGGTTAAGGCCCGTATTTTACGGATCCGGAAAGCTAGGATGTATAGGGAAAAAGTAAAGAAAAGTTCGGTTTGGAATAGACAAACAAAGACACGTATTTTTACGGGTCCAATCTCAGCTAGTATTATATATTGTTATAAGCAATATGTACGATATATTGCTATTAGCAATATATCGTGTATATTGCTTATAACAATATATTTGATAAATTTATTGCTTATTGCTAAGCCTTTTATAAAATTATTTTATAAATATATAAAATTTATAAAATTATTGCTTATTGCTAACCCTTAGTAACGCTAAGCAATAATTTTGAAAATAAAAACATTTGATAGAGATATATTTTAAATAGATTTAACAAATACTAACATGTAAAAAGATATTTGATGCCATTAGTTTAATAAAATAATTGTGTTAAAAATTTGTTAAAAACTGTTAAAAATTTTTAAAAGTTTTTAACAATTTAAAAAAAATTTTAAAAACAGTTAAAAAATTTCCGTTAAAAAAACGGAAATTTTTTCTGTTATTTCAACGGAAAGTATCCGTATGTCCATTTATGGATGAATCCATCGATTATGTACGGAAACTTTCCTTTTTTTTTGTAGCTAAATTTTCAAATACGGAAATTTCCGTTATATTTATAACTGAAAATACATGTTGAACTGCCATTAGTGCAGATTTTTAAAAGTTATTTTTATGTACACATTTATCTTCAAAAATAAGTTCTGAAGTTTCACCTGCAGGGCGAAGAAAGTTCAACAGGCATTTTAATATAAACTGTTTTGTTCTTTTAATTTTAAAATTACATGAGCTTTGTTTGGTCCCTGGATTGCTTAGAACGAGACTATGTTTAGTAGGATTCTTGACACAAGTTTTGTGCATTTTTAATTCAATTTTTAGTGATTTTAAGTTTATGGAAGTGCACTCACATAACATGTTATATATAAAATGGATCATTTCAAAGCCAGGGAAAAAGTTCACTTGTTAAAATATGTAGCTAAAAAATAGTAAATTTTAAAATTGCACTACTTAAGCACAAGTGCTTTCTTGTGATAAGACCGATGAATTTCTCATCGCTTTAAAAACTTTTTATAACAATTTACATTTTCATTATTATTTCATTACAATAACTTTATATATAAAATATTTAGGTTATCTATAAGTAAACATTAAAAAAAAAATTTAAAAACAAATTTATAAAGATTACCCCAGAAATTACAACTATAATTAGAATACATTATTAAATTTATTTGTTTATAATATTCATCCAGGATAGTCATGCAGAATAGTAAAAATCTATATAAAATAAATACATCTGCTATCATTTTTCTTCATTGTTTCTGATTGTTTTTAGAAAAAATTTGATCAGTTCACTAAAAGATTTTAAACGTAAACCATATTTCTAGCAGTCCAACATTGTAAAAAGACTATATATAGTAAGTTATTGTTGATACTATAAAATCAAGTGATGCTCTATAGTATGGATTAAAAATAAAAATGGTAATTTCTAACAAATAAATAAAAAGTAAAGCCCTAAAGTTATTGCTTTAAAGGTATTGTTTGTTTTGTCTATTGTTGTTAAATCATTCTGGAATTATATTTCATATTTTTCTCAAAATTTAAGTGTATCAGAATAACTTCCAGAAATGAAAATTTGATGCATTTTTAGTTTGTAAAGTATTTAGTCATTTAATATATAATATAATAAATTTAAGTTGTAGGTGAAAGGCTTGAATGTTCTTCGTATTTTAGTATGCATATTTCTTATAGAGTAAATGAAGTATTTATTTAATTAGGCTCTCGCGACTTTGGATAATTAGGGCAAGTCTGTAATTCCACCTATTTTGTATGGTTCAGACTTTGTCACTTCACCCAGGGCCGGCGCAAGTAGAGGTCACGTTTTAAAAAAAAAAAAAGGTCCTCGTTTTTTAAAATTTACCGACTCCCATAACGACATTTGCCGACTGACTTTACCGACTAAGCTATCGACAGGGTCTACATTTGCCGACTAACTAGTCAAAAAAAAAAAAACCCCACACCCCCTATTGCGCTGGCTTTGACCTCACCTAAAGACAAAGCTGAATTGTTTGCTAAGAACTTTTCATCAATATCATCTCTTGACTCCACTAGTTGCGTTCTACCTGATATAGCCGTCAAACAGGTTGATCCATTGCTTGACATCCATATCACTCCAGCTTCTGTATCTAAAGTGATTTCCTGCTTAGACTCTTCTACAGCTTGCGGCCCGGACAACATACCTGTTATAGTCTTGCAGAAGTGTTCTCCGGAGCTGTCGTCTATCCTTTCAAAACTACTTAACAAGTGCTTATCAAAGTCTTGTTTTCCAGCATGCTGGAAAGCAGCACCTGTTATCCCTATTTTTAAAATTTATGGAGAGCGATTCGATTCATCTAACTACCGTCCCATTAGTCTTCTTCCTATCATAAGCAAGGTTTTTGAATCTTTAATTAACAAATACTTAATCTCTTATTTTGAATCTCATAACCTACTTTCTGATCATCAATATGGATTTTGATCTTCTCGTTCTATGGCTGATTGGCTAACAGTAATAACCGATAGGTTTTATTGTGCATTAGATAAAGGTGGAGAGGTTAAGGCCATTGCTCTTGACATTTTTAAAGCGTTTGATAAAGTTTGGCATGCTAGTCTTCTCCATAAGCTTTCTTCTTACGGTGTATCTGGAAACATCTTAAAGATTATTGAATCCTTTCTTTCCAATCGTAGTATAAAAGTTGTCCTTGATGGAAAGCACTCTTCTTCTTATTCTGTACCCTCAGGGGTTCTTCAAGGTTCAATCCTTGGCCCTATACTCTTTTTAATATACATTAACGATTTTCCAGATATTCTCACATCTAAGGTGGCATTGTTCGCTGATGATACTACCATTTATTCTTGTCACGATAAGAAGCCAACTCCCACTAATTGCTTGCAGGGGGCATTTGAGCTTGAAAAGGATCTCACTTCTGCTACAGCATGGGGCTCACAGTGGCTGGTGAACTTTAATTCAGATAAAACTCAATTTTTTTCAGCCAATCGTTATCGCAATAATTTAGACCTTCCTATATTTATGAACGGTAATGTACTCAATGAGTCATCTACCCTTCATTTTCTAGGATTAACTCTCACTTCTGATTTTTCTTGGAAACCTTATATCAAATCCGTTGCAAAATTAGCATCTGCTAAAGTTGCATTTCTTTATTGAGCTCGACACTTTCTTACTCTGGATTCTATTCTCTATCTCTATAAATCTCAAATCCGACCTTGTATGGAATACTGTTGCTATATCTGGGGCGGATCTTCTAATGATGCCCTTTCTCTTTTAGACAAGGTACAAAAACGCATTGTAAACATAGTTAGACCTGCTCTTGCAGCCAACCTTCAACCTCTGTCACATCGTCATAATGTTGCTTCTCTTTCTCTTTTCTACAAATACTATAATGGGCACTGCTCTAAAGAGCTAGCGTCTCTTGTGCCATCTACTAAAATTCATTTTCGTGTTACTCGTCATTCAATTAAGTCTCATACTTTTTCTGTTACTGTTCCTATGTGCTCCAAAAACTCTTATTCGTCTAGTTTTTTTCCTCGAGCATCAGTTCTTTGGAATTCGCTTCCTTCATCTTGCTTTCCTGATTTATATAGTTTGCAATCTTTTAAGTCGTCTGTTAATCGTTATCTTGCCCTACAATCTTTTCAATCTTTTCTCTACCAGTAACTTTTAACACTAATTAGTGGTTGCTTGCAGCCTTGTTGGAAGCGAAGATGTAACATCATCCCAAGATCTTCGCATGATTTTGTATTTTCTGCATATATATATATATATATATATTTTTTTTTTTTTTTTTTTTTTAGTATTGTATTTGCCGATTGAAAATAATTTACACTCGTAATTTATAAAAACAAATATTTACATGACTGGGGCTTGAAGAAGACAAAATTCATCTTATCATTAAGCCCCCCCAAAAAAATGCATATTCATCAAATAAAATGTTTTAACAAAATGTAAAAAATAAAATATATAACGTTTAAAATATTTAGTAATTCAAAGAGTATTTATATTTAAGAACTGATTAGTAAAATAAGATGATATATAAGTATTAATATTACAAAAAGAATTTACAATAACTTTTTTTAATAAAAATTGAAATTATAAAATTTTACAATATTTTTAGTAATTAGTATTTCAAATAATAAAACTTAAAAAATCGTTTGTAAATTCAAAACTTATAAGATAAGAAATACATTTACTATATTTACTATATACATTACTATATTTACTATATACATTTAATTACTATATTTACCATATACATTACTATATTTACTATATACATTTAATATATATATATATATATATATATATATATATATATATATATATATATATATATATATATATATATATATATATATATATATATATATATATATATATATATATATATATATATATATATATATATATATATATATATATATATATATATATATATAATTTGGGAAGTTTTACTTGTTATCTCAAAATTGCATCTTAATTTTCTTTCTTATTTAATATTTTAGTGTTTTAGATATTTTATCCAAAAAATTTAATTAAATCTCACAATTATTTATATATTAGTATTTATAGTTATAAATATAATTAAGCAAAAGTTAAAAATATGAAATGTTTTTAACAATGTTAAAACATTTCATATTTTAGATCTGATAGCAATATATGTGGGATCACACTCTCTATTTTCTGAAACCATCTGCAGGATATATGATCAACTATGGAATCAATTAGAGTTAATTGGAAATGAACAAGTTGTGCTGATGTAGGAGTCACTGCATAATGTATATATGTAGATACATTTGCAAAGAAAAAGAGATAAAAGTATATATTTTCTTTTTAGAAAAAATATTTTTTTTTACATTTAAGTTCTAACAAAGTAATGTGAAAAAAAAAATTTCGAAGAAAAAAGATATTTTAAAACAGTTTCTAATTAATGCCAAGTAATCCACAAGATTTAACTAACAAATCTTGAAAAATAAATCTTTAACTGATGAAAAGTATTACAAGTAGCATTTCTTCACAGCAAAATCCTAAATCTTAGTCCATAGTTTAAGACATTTAGTTCTTAAAACAAGAAATATTTATCATGTTTAAGAAATAAATTTCCAATCCCCCAATTTGTTATTTAAAACAAGAAATATATTTCTTGTTTTAAGAAATAAGTTACAGTGTAGGAAATTTTTTTCTTGCTTTAAGATTTACAGCAATATTGTTAGTCTAGTGTTTATAGTTTAAGAAATATATTTCTTGTTTTAAGAAATAAATTGCACGATGGGAAATTTATTTCTTAAAACAAGCAATATATTTTTTGTTTTAAGAATTGAATGTCTTAAACTGCGGACAAAGATTTACAATTTTGCTGTATTCATATTTTCATTTGTATTCGTGATTTTGCTGCATTTATATATTAATTTGTATTTTCATTCATTTCTATTAAAGCATTTATATTTGTGTTGTTAGGTATATGGTTGGCTATAATATGATAGTTTAAAAAGTTCAAATCCACAAAGTATAAAGCATAAATATGGAATCTGGAAAAATCACTGCAAAAAAAAAAAGCACTGAAAATCATTGTATTGAATCTGGATACTATGTAGAGAGAAAAAATAGTAAATGTATTTTATATATATATATATATATATATATATATATATATATATATTTATATATATATTTATATATATATATATATATATATATATATATATATATATATATATATATATATATATATATATATATTATATATATATATATATATATATATATATATATATATATATATATATATATATATATATATATATATATATATATATATATATATATATATATATATATATAAATGTAATAATAATATTTATATTTTAATAAAATGTTAAAGATTTCGTCTAATTTTTTTAAACTAATTTTTATTATATTATATTAATAATGTTTTTATTGTTATTTTTAAACTGATAGTTTTGCTCGTGATCTACCACTTGATGAATTTATTTATGGTCCATCATATCAAGAACACAAGATACGATCATAATGTTAATAGACCACTGGTGTTGATTGAAAGGTAAAAACAAATTTTTCAAAGCAGTTGAAGTTTATATTATAAGCATATAAAATGTTTGAAAAATGCTTATGCAAAAGCTTATAAAATAATATGTAAGCTTGAAAAAATTTAAAAAAAAGAATAAGCTTATGCAAAAAGTGAAATAAGACTCACAATATATGCTTATCTTTCTTAATTCCACAGATTTTAATTTATAATCTATGTCATGATTATGTAATTTATTTTGTGTTTAGATATGTTTGACTATAAACAAGAGAATGCGAGAAAAAACGCAAAAAGAAAGAAAGATAACAGTTATTTGCTCTAAAAGCATATATATATAATATTTATGTATATATATATATATATATATATATATATATATATATATATATATATATATATATATATATATTTTTTTTTATTTAACTTTTTTTATGCTTTATTTAGAGCAACAATTTATGTCATTAATAATTGCAGAACATATTTATGTCATTCTTTTTTTTTTTTTTTTTTTTATTGTTTAAGGAATAAGAATTATTAGAATAAGAGTTTTTTGTTGCGCTTTCTACGGAAATTTCCAGCAGCAGATTTTCCAGAAATTTTCCGTTATTTTACAAAAAAATCAGTCACATGTTAACGGAAATATCCGTTTAAATACGGAAATATCTGTTATTACAATGATATATATTTTCCGTAATTTATACGAAAATTTCCTTCAACACTTTATTTTTCTGTAAAATAACGGAAACTTACTGGAAAATCTGTTGCCGGAAATTTCCGTAAAAAACGCGATATTTTTTTAACAGTGTATATATTGCTTATAACAATATATTTGATAAATTTATTGCTTATTGCTAAGCCTTTTATAAAATTATTTTATAAATTTATAAAATTTATAAAATTATTGCTTGTTGCTAAGCCTTAGTAATGCTAAGCAATAATTTTGAAAATAAAAACATTTGATAGAGATATATTTTAAATAGATATAACAAATACTAACAGGTAAAAAGATATTTGATGCCATTAGTTTAATAAAATAATTGAACGACATCTTAGAGAGTAAAGTTAAAAATAAATTCAATTCCAATTTTATAAGTAACAACAAATGAAAGCAATAAAATAGCGCGCTTGCTTAAAACTAATATGGAAGCTGTAAGTAAACAACCAATCAAATTTAAAGATAATAGATGAATATCTGGAAAACCAAAATCATGCGTTTATTTTCTAAAAAACCAATAGTTTTTCAAATACGAATTGTTGGAAAACCAATTTATTTTTGTTTCTCTTGCGAAAAACCAAATCATTTTTTAGATACGTCATAAAACCTTTAAGTTTTCTGTGAAACCGATCAATTTTCTAGATAATCAATGAAAAACCAATTCTCGTAAGAGTGTGCATTCATTTCCCTCAAACTGGCCCCTGTGATACGGGCTCAGTTGAATGTGGAGGGCGGCTGGTCACTTAACAGCTTCTATCCAAGCAGTTTTAAGGATCTTAAAAAATGGTTGACAACTCCTGAGAGGAGATGCAATTCCATCGGTGGAATGATTTCCAAAATCAGAATATTGACAGGCCCGCAGATGATTGGCTTTTGAATAAAGTTATAACTTTTTTACTACATTTCTTTAACTTTTTTACTACATTTCTTTAACTTTTTAATTTTGTTTGTTTCTGTTGTGCTTTTATTGATATTAAATAATTAGTAATAAATATTTAGTTATATTTCATATAACTAAATATTTATAACCCTTTTACAAGGGCTACAGTGGTAAATTTTGGAGCACTTGATGGTGTCTGCGCACTACTTTGACCTAAAACCAAAACATACATAATTTATAGCTACAATAAACTTTGTTTAGTAAGTTTGTGTAAAACTTTCAAATTATTCGTTTTTAAAGAAATTAGAAACTTGTCAAAAATATACTTCTTGAAATCTATCTAGTGTTATTTCTTAGTAGTCCAGACTTTATTTCAATATATATGTTAAAATTATTTAAGTATAAATATTCACCAGGGGTAGCTGCAAGTGGAGGCCCACCGGATGCTTTAGCCAGTAGAATATTCCTTCCGGAGATAATTCTTTATTGGAAATAACTCGAGATGCAATTTGTTTGGATGATTTGGCATCTTTTGCTTCTAAAGCTTGAATGTTTTCCCTTAACATTGTTCAAGAGCATTGGTGGGGCAATTCAGCAAATGCCTCAGCCCTTTTCCTAAAGGGCTGAGGCATTTGCTGCAACGCACCTTTGGTTTTTTTCAATAGTGGTTTGATCTATAAGAAGATGTTTTTCTTGCAGCTTTGAACAACCAATTTGGCATATTAGGCAACAACACATCGTGCCTTTTGTTTCAGGTCTCACTTGTATTGACAAGCACACAAACTTTCGATTTTCATCATGATTCTTTGCTTGATTTAGCATCGTGGCAATTCACTAAACTTGACTTCACTAAATCAAACTCTGCCTTTTACAAAATTTGACCTAAATTTATATTTGATAACAATCCACTTAACATAGTAACACATATTATTAATTAAAAACTATTTAAAAAAAGGAAATATTTACTTGATTTAATTGAAGTAATATTAAACTACAAGGAAATAATTCTTAAATAGTTCTTTCCTTACCAAGAAACAATTGTTTAAACTATTTACTTGTAAGGAAATTACACTATTGATGATTATCACACTTACTAAACTAATGATACTTGTCACACGGGTTGTTTTATTTCAAAAAAACAACCCTTCAACCTAATTAGTTATTTAGTTAGAGTAATTTTTCTCCTACTAGCCCTCCAAACTTTGTAATGGTCAGATATCTTAGTTAACTTATCTAAATTTTTTAAGTCAATTATCTTTGTCAATATAAAAAATATTTGGTTTTTTTACAGTTGTTCTGTTTTCAGATAAATAAATATTTTTATTTTCTATGTAGGTATCCCTAGAAATCCTTCTTAACCATTTTTTTAGAATTTTTTGCATTCTGGCAGTAGTTTATACCTTAGGAAATGATGTAATTATCACGCTATGCATACATAGCCGTCAAGGGAGCCATGGCCTGCCCACTTTTTTTTGCGAGGACCTTTTGTTTTAGAAATATAAGCGATTATTTTAGAAATTATGGATTTTATTTTAGAAATTGAGGGATTGACCACCTCCACTTTGAAGGCCGTGTCAATGGCCTTCAAAGTGGAGGTGGTCAATCCCTCAATAAGCCAATTCAAATCACGCTTTAAGTAGCAAATCACTATTTTGGTCTATAAAATGAAAACTGTACATGTATCGATAAAATAATTATAACAAAAATTGTTGGCATTACATAGTAGAACACTCATGTAACCGTTATTTTAAAAATAGTGACCGAATTTCAAAGTAATCGGTAACGCTTTGAGGTATAAGTAGCAAATAACTGACAAAACTTCAACTAAAACTGCAATAAATTCTATACCAGTAATCCAATTAGGCTGAAATTTTGTCCAGAGTTTTGTGTGACTATTGGTTACATTTGCATCAATTTTTATCAAATTATATTGAGTGGTTTAAATTCTACAAGTGTTTTTATTGGCGCACTATGAAGTCAAAATTTGACTTATTTAATTTAATTTATTTATTAACTTAATATATAATATAAACTTATTTATTTAATTTAATTTAAACATTCAAATTAAATTATTTTCCGCGGATAAAATTAACTACCTAGCGTTCTTGGGACAGCAAGGATCCATGCTAACCGTGATATATTTGCCGTTAGTTAAAATAACAAAAAGAAATTACAATTAAAAACCTGGGAGGAGCAAGAAGAAGACAAATTGTCTTATCGCCGAGCCCCCGTTACATTGGTGTTTTGTAAACGTTTTAAATATTTACATGTAAATATTTACATGCGAAATAAAAATAGTATATACACATTTTATGGTATTATATACAAAAATTTTCAAAAAAACTTTCAAAATCAAAAATAGAAATTTTATTACAACGAAATAATTGAAGTAATAAAATGAAACAAAAGATATATAACCAAAAAGTTATAAATCCACAAAAATTGCGTTGTGTTTTATTATAAATAATGAAGTATAACTAAATATTTATTACTAATTATTTAATATCAACAAAAGCACAACAGAAACAAACAAAATTAAAAAGTTAAAGAAATGTAGTAAAAAAGTTAAAGAAATGTAGTAAAAAAGTTAAAAAAGTGTAGTAAAAAAGTTAAAGAAATGTAGTAAAAAAGTTAAAGAAATGTAGTAAAAAAGTTAAAGAAATGTAGTAAAAAAGTTAAAGAAATGTAGTAAAAAAGTTAAAGAAATGTAGTAAAAAAGTTAAAAAATTGAGTTAAAAATGTAAAGAAATGTAGACAGATTTAAAATAATTTTTTAATTCAAACAATTAAATTATTTTCAAAATATGTATTTGAAATCTAATATATCAAAGTCCATGTTTAGTAAATGCTGTTTTAAATCAGCCTTAAAACTTTCCATTGTGAAGTTTAAGACGAATTCCAGTTTATCATTAAAAATTCGAAGAAAATTTTTCCAAACAAAAGGTCCACGATATTGAATTTGGTTAGAACTTATTTTAATATGGGTTATGGGAATAATTTATAAGAAACTTCATTAAAGTAAGATTGAAATTTTACTGGCGATAAACGCGCTTTGCTTTGAACATAAATAGCAACACTTGATAAATGTTCAGTTTTTAAATATTTAAAGCTTTAAGTGCATCAGAGGCTCGCAATATGCATTTCTGTTTGCTCAAATATTATCGTGCAAGCAAGTTTTTGTTTACTATAAATTTTTTTTAGTTTTGTGTGATTTGTACGACCCCACACAATGTTACAGTAAGAAAGAAACTGTGTATAAACGAAAAATATAACTTTTTGTAATGGTGCTTTATTAAGAAAATGTTTTGTTTTATATAACATGGAATTACTTTTTGTTATCTTATTTTCAATATATTTAATCTGATAATATGAATACGCTAATTTAATATTAGTCGAGTTACGTCATTTTCTAGGCTTTTCTATTTTAAAGTAGTTTGTAGGCTTTTCTATATGCGGTTTTTTTTTTTTAATTTTATTTACTAACAACGCGTATTACGGGTTGCTTACTGCTAGTATAAAATATTAGTGAAGTTCAATGAAATGATGTTCATATATAAAAACATTCCATTTATAATGAAAAATTAAAAAGAATTAGGTCGTTATTATATAAAAGCAATATATATAGTTTTCATATAATAATGGCCTAATTCTATAATTAAAAAATAATCAAAAATAATTAGGCTGTTATTATATGAAAACTTGTATTGTTTTCATATAATATTGGCCTAATTATTTTTAACTTTTCATTATACATAGAATATTTTTATATATGAACATCATTTCATTGAAATTCAGCAATGTCATTCTCACCAAATACGTTTATTAATAATGTTCATAAAACATATGAAAATATCACATCTATTATTCTAAAAACACCGTTATTGCATTCGAAGTGGCTATCTTCAGAAAACAATTGCAATGTATTTCTTAAAATGGAGTCAGAACAGATTACTAATTCTTTTAAACTTCGAGGTGCTGCAAGTAAAATTATTAAATTGATTAAAGAAGATCCTGATAATCTCAGCACCGAGGGTTTTGTAACAGCTTCAAGCGGAAACCATGCACTTGCTTGTGCATATGTTGCAGAGTTAGAAAAAGTAAAAACTCAAATTTATACACACAAACGAATATCAAGTATTAAAAAGCAAATTCTAAATTCATTTCCTAATGTAGTTTTAAATTATTATGGAGAAGAATGTTGTGAAGCTGAAATACATGCTCGTGAAGAAGCTAAAAAAAAGGGACTGATATATGTATCTCCGTATAATGACATCGATATAATAAATGGTCAAGCTACTATAG